AAAATATTGTGAGGCATTTTGACTGCACTATTAATGAAAATGATGCAGTTAAACTTCCCAACCCCATCTATCATGCTTGATTAATCTCTAAAGATATAAAGAAAAAAGAAGAAATGAGATTCTCTCAAAAATGCAATGAGGATAAAAATTTCAAAAAGAATGAAAAAATACTAAACTATAGAATAATTTGGCTAAAATAATGTATTTAAGTTATTTTTAATTAACTGAAATGTTCACACCATTATATTAAAAACTTAGCCCAATATGAACATTAATATGATATGGTTCATGCATTTGTTAATTCAGCAAACCTTCCTCAAATGCCTGTTATGATTAAGGGGTACAGTAGGCACCATGGAATATGTGTATTTGCATGTAAAATGTAGAGAACTTGTTCTCCATATAATACCTCCATGACGAAATACTAACAAGGGAAGCTCTTAAAGAAAACTCATCTTACAAACAAATAAAATCTCAGTAGTTCTTCTTCTTCATTGAAATAAAAATAGTACCAATTGCAAACTAAATACAATGGCCATGGTAGTTGGCAAATTGTTGGTTTACAAAGATGACACACACAAGACCACAGTGTTTACTGATTCAGAGTTAGCTAAAAAGTTTCACCCCCCTCCAAAAAGTGTGGAAACAAGACGAACTTCAAATCTGTGACTTAAACACAACAGATGTGTATTAAAAGTATATGTAAAAGAAAAAGCCAGCTGACCATAAATTCTTTTTTTATTTTTCAAACAAGACATCTAACTTGAAGATACTGGCATGTTATCTGGTTTCTTCAACACAGAATTCCAGAGAAAGATTTTAAATCCAACATTCTAGTGTCATTTTCTGTTTAGATGATCTAACTTCTCCTGAAAGAACCAGTTGGGAAACCATCAAAAGAAAATTAATACACGACTAAGCCTCAAAGTGAAGGCTCCCTTTCTTATCCCAGATATCTAGAAGTGATACTCAATATTTTTCTTAGAACCCAGAACAATGTTGGAAAATAGAAGGCACGCCACTGACGGAGAAGAAACTATAAAGAACTCCTGAACGAGAGAAAGCAGAAGTGGATGAACGAAAAGCAGCACAGCCCCAAAGGGACACATATCCATGTGCTTCACAAAATAGTGAGGCCCTCAAAGAACTCAAAAGTAGAGCAGGATTGCCGGACTCCCTGGAGATGTGGCACACCCCAGTATGGAAAAGGGCATTTCAGTCACACACAAAAAAAATGACTCACAAGAGATTGTGGAAACTGATCATCAGTGGTTAAAAGGAAAAAAATCAGCAGCTGGAGAAACAGCTGAAGAGCTAAGTGATGAGTAAACCAATTCTCCCATAATATGGTACACAAGGACAAGCAGATGGAAACTACCAAGGAAAGGGTGACCAGCATGAGTGGAGCCAGAAATGTAAGTATCTATCCAATGTTGATTCCTGAATGAAACAATAAATGGAAAGAATACGTTGAGTCAATCAATAAGAAAATTTTTCCAGAACTGAAGACATGAACCCCCACATTGAAAGGGTATCTCTCACACTAAGCAGAATTAAAAATAAAATTAACCCCACATCTAGTTACGTTGTGGTGAAATTTAAGAATAACATGGATAAGGAGTAAATCCTCAAAACTTCTAGAGGTGGAAAAATTTAAAAAAGCACAGGTTACCTAGAAAGAGCAAGTATCAGACTGACCTCAGACTTCTCATGAGCAACACTCAATACAAAAAGAATATGGTGCAGTATCTTCAAAGTTCTGAGTTTTTGAGCCTATAATGTTTTACTCAGCAAATTTCACTAAGGAGAAAAAATACAGGCCAATTTCCCAGCACTTAAGAACTTGATTTTATTTTTTTAATCTCTATAAAAGAAGTATTAGAAGATATACTCCAGCAAAAAGAACAATCGCACCAAGAGAACACAGTAGGACACAAAAGTCTACGATATACAAAGAAACAGGACATCTTCAAAAAAGCCAGGTAACAATATAGAAATAAAATCCCAGATGATAACAAACTGAGAGCTGGGAGAAGAAATAAAGGGAAGCAAAAATATTTTTTCTGCCTTATTGGTGGTTATCTCTACGCAGAAAATACATATTTAAATTTGTGCAGAAAATATTTCAGTGTTACAGATTTTTTAAAAAAGGGAATATTTATCACTTTCAAATAATTAAGAAAAAACAAAGAACAATGAAAGTAAAGAAAAGGAAAAACCCTACAGAAAAATAGACAAAGGATAGAAACAGGTAATTTACTGAAGCATAAACACAGTCCAATAAACATATAAGATACTCAAGAGTAATCAGGAAAATGCAAACTCAAAAGCCATAACAGCATTTTTTAGAAAGACAGACACTAATAAGTTCGCTAATATCAAGGTATACCTTGTCAGGGTGGGCGTAAATAGATACAGCCATTTTTTACTGTGCAAACCACATAAACCAAAAATTCTGCTTCTTTCTATGTATTTTTTTTTTTTTTTTTTTGAGACAGAGTCTCGCTTAGTTGCCCAGGCTGGAGTGCAGTGGCGCGATCTCGGCTCACTGCAAGCTCCGCCTCCTGGGTTCACGCCATTCTCCTGCCTCAGCCTCCCGAGTAGCTGGGACTACAGGCGCCCGCCACCTCGCCCGGCTAATTTTTTGCATTTTTAGTAGAGACGGGGTTTCACCGTGTTAGCCAGGATGGTCTCCATCTCCTGACCTCGTGATCCGCCCGCCTCGGCCTCCCAAAGTGCTGGGATTACAGGCGTGAGCCACCGCGCCCGGCCTCTTTCTATGTATTCTAAAAAAACCTTTCCACTTGTACATATGTGTAAAAAGCATGAATAAGGATGCTTGCTGAAACATTTTTGCAGTATCAAAAAACTGGAAAATAAGCAAAATGCCCGTCAATATGGAACATTTAATTAATTAAGACACCTTGTACCATGAATTTCATGTAATGGTTAAAAAGAGTATGATAGATCTATGACTACTGACCTGAAATGGTTAGGAGCAAGAAAAAGACAAACATCATATGTGTAATGTAGGAAATTACCTTTGCAACAAAACATATCAATATAATACATGCAATTACAAAAAGTAAAACACTTGAAAGAGAATAAAAATTAAAAGAGAAAGAACAAAACAAGAACACAAAAACGACAGGAAAAATAATCTGTCAATTCACTTGCCACACTCTTCTATAATGTTGCTTTTTGAAAAGCATCCTTGGCATTGAAATGAATTGTGACTGCTACTGTGAATGTAACCATTCAATCCTAAAGGATCAATTGAGCCCATGCCCTCATTACAGTAGACTCAAAAACTCACTCTTAGACACACAATTCGTTGACGAATTTGTAGAAAACAGAAATAAAAAATGATTGAAAATCGACAAACTGATTAGGAAAAATGAGGACCAGTTCACTCCTTACATGTCCCCTATCCCAATCACAATGGCCGAGCAATAACACGTAAGGCGGGGTGCATTCCCAGAATGCTGCCAAGACAATACGACCAAAAATTAAAATGGAAAAAAAAATGGAATTGGTTTCAGGCAAGGGCAAAGCACACGTCTGTTAAGAGGCAGTTTGTGAAACCAGAGCAAGAGTCAGATGCTTTCTCTCTTTTCCTCTCAGTGGTTGCTGAACCAATGTGGCCACAAAGGCCATGGGGATTTGGGAGCTGGCCAAAGGCCAGGTGACTCAACATTGAATTTCTTGTCCCTCTGGGCAATTCCTCTCAGTGGTACAAATTTGTACCAGAACAGAGAACAGTTACCCTCTTATCAATCAGGAAAAGACACATATTAAAAGTTGTTTGGGTTTTTTTTAAGTGTTAGCTAGCAAAGAAAACTGATAGAGGTTGGCAAGAGAACAAAGCCTTATTCCCCCATTATGAAACCAAAGGACTCTACTTGTGACAGAAAAATCTGTGGGAAGGGTCAGGGCCGTCTTCTGAGGTCATTCAGGGTAAGAAACAGACACACAACTTTATTTTTATCGCATTCCTACAAAGCGTGTGCAGCAGCTCCATTTTTCTTAAATAAAAAGTAGACCTCAAATAATAGGGTCTTCCAAAAACAAAGAATCGGTTGTTTGTGGTTAATACACAGATGATTCCTTGTGCACAAGAACCAGGTGCTACATGGCTTTCTGCTGTGTCACCAGCTACTAGGCCAGAAGATGATACATAATTGTTTGTGAACTTGTTAACTGGTTGACTAACCGATTCAAATGTCAGTGGGGGAGTAACATGCACATGTGGGTATTGTAGAGGTACATCACTGAAGACTACTAAAATCCTAAGCAGAACCCTTTGCTATTCCTTCCTTATAACTCACTAGCACTCACACGAGCTCTGACTTTGCCCTTCGGTGCCCTTTAAAATGTTGGAGATGAAAACGCTGGGGAGAGGAGTAGGGGATGACGGTAAAGTAAGAGATCTGAAGTCCAGACATGGGGAGAAGCACGTAGCACAGCAGACTTGGGGAACCCCATTAAGAGACACAGACATCTGGCAGTAAGACAAGTTTAAGGGAATGTGCTGGATTGAATTGCATTTGCTTGTGCTGCCACGACACTTTCATCTCCCTGAGATCCCTGGCCTGGGTGCCAACCAAGGGCATATGTGGCCAGAGAAGTGCCACACTTTCAGCAGATAGTTTTTGCCCAGACGGATGGGTGGATGAATGGATGCATGGATAGATGGATAAACAAACATGAACAAATAATCAAGTGAACAAACAAACAAACAAAAAGAATAAGCAGTGTACTTTTTCTCTATGCACTTTACAGCCACCCACTCCGAATTAATATTCTACTTGCAAAGAATATTCAGCAAAGTTCCTCTCAGCCGATTACTCCACACTACACACAAATGTTGTCTGATTCACTGGAGACATCAGCAGAATACTATATACAATCCAGGTAGTGGTAATTTTCCCAGACTACCACACCAAGGCAATAAGAATAATTAATAGCAACTAGAACACATTGCTTTAAAAATAAATTACCACAATTGGGTATCTGCAGGTTTGCCAGGGGAATATTCTTGCTGCTTTCATTCAGGCAGTACAAATCCTGAGTGTCTGGACTGGATTTAGCCTCTTGGAGAGTCTTGATCCACATAATGTCACAGGAGCATGTAAATGGATTGCCTACCAGGATCCTACAGGGAACAAAAATGACAACAGATCAAGTTCCTTTTTCCATTTTAGCTACACTGGTGCTTGTAAAATACTACAGCATTATGAATTCTTTCTAGCCAGCAACGCTTTGAAGTCATACCACTTTCATAGCATGACAGTACTTATTATTCCTTCATTTATCTGATACTTACTGAGCATCTGCTATGTGCAGACAGCACTGGAGAATGACAGAAGACCTTACAGAATAACAGGGGAAACGAGATACAGAGAGAAATAGCCAAAATATAGGATAGAAAAGAACATCTCATAACATGGGGAAAATAAGGTGCCATGACAAATTTATCATGGTTATGACAGAGTTATTAAGAAGATGCCAACAAGAAGTTTTCGGGAATGCTAACATACTTATTTCTGACCAGGCTAAAGGCTCAAGTGTTACCACTTTCTAAGCTCAAACTTCAGCAGGGGGCAGAACAATTTCATCTCAATTTAAAATGAGACTGTAAGTACAAAGCTAAGACTAAAGTGTGAATGCCAGAAGGCTGGTACCCCTAGCTTTCTGCATCATGCAATCACAGTCAGTTTCATTGATTCAAGATAGTGGGAGTGAAGGTGAGAGAGAGAACCTGAAAGGGAGCTGCAGACCTCCTTCACACATACACACACACACACACACACACACACACACACACACACAGAGCAAGCTCTTCTGAGGGCAAGGCAACTGAGCTGCAGATTGAGCTGTGTTAGACCACTGTGGGTGGAAAGCCACCGCCATTCAGACCTCAGCCCTGCTGCCTGGACTCCTGTGGCCTGCAATGGGTAAAAGAGGAAGTAGTCAAGAGGAAAATAAAAACCACAAGGAAAAAAATAATCTTTAAATGCTTATTTATAATACTCAGTGGCCTATTTAAGATGAATTCCATTTATGGTAATGAGCCTTTAAGTGAGGCCATTTAAAATCGTTACATAGACTCTGCCTGGCATTAACCACAATACTTAAGATTTCCGTGAAGACAGGACCTGGACTTTGCCACATCATTTAGTCCTGTGGTTTTCTGGTTGGGTTCTAAGAATCTCAGGGATCCCTGGAGACTTTTCCAGGAGTTTCTTAGGGGAAAATGTGGTCATGATAGACTCATTTAATTTGTGTCTGCTTGATCACCTCCAAGTATCCCTCCAACACCAAAATGGGATTTGACGTTATGGGATATGGAAAAGAACACAGCAAAGACCCACCACCAGTTTAAACCCCACTAATCCAAAATGCTGCCTGGAGCTCTGAGGACATGCAAAACTAAAGAGTCTTTCTAAAAGAGGATATCATTAACTCAGCAGAAGGGATAAAGAAGGAAAGGAATGTTTCAATTATGAATACAGCAATGTTCATATGACAACACAACACTGGTGCACAGCTGGCTTCTTTCTCCAGCTTACTGTGCAAGCTCAATGATTATGACAGCACATTACATTTATATCTTTAGGTTTCTACCTCTCCCACTGGATAACAGAATCCAGGAACATATAAACGTTTCTCCCTTTATTCCCATGGCCCTGTGCCATATCGTGTTGATTTGTGATAGGTACAACATTAACATTGGTTGAATCAATGGATTAAATACTCTTCAAGAAGAATATTGAGACATAAATTTGAAATTGAAACTCTAATTTTTAATCCAGCAAGAAAATTTTAAATAATGTTGCCCAAAATTTTTACACCAAGTACTTTATCCTATCTCATATATCTTCCTTTAGTTTGTCATGCCTATTCCTGTGTTAGAAGCATTAGTGCTTCAATGCCCTGAATTCACTTTATTCCAAATAATTGCCAATTGCCAAGACTTTCACCATATAACACCCATTACACCTATTAACTTGTTGTCTCTCCAGCAGTGACATCTTCCAATCTGCACAATTTCCTTGTGAATAAGGATGGATCTTCATGAAAAGACTCCACAATTTAGGCAACATAGAGTTTAAGCAAATGCCATTGCCTAATCTTCAAAGGCCTCTTCCTGGGCCCACATCTGCCCCACAAATCCTCTGCATTAGGACGCTTTGAGGTGCCATAAGAATGGCAACAGTTCATATTTGTTTAATGGGGACAACGCAAGGAATTGAGCTCATTTGGAAATCCTGGCTGTTAGTTGTCACCACCTTTAAATACGTTTTCTATCATTTCACAACAGAAGAAAATGGGACTTAAAAATAAATATTGAATGCAGTAACAGACCTGGAAGAAAATCTCACAAAGATGGGTAGGGAAAGAGAAGAACTACCTTTCCTCCAATGTTCCCTATCCTTAAGATGGACAAAAGTGAGCAGAGTTTTGCCCATTTTTGTTTCCTCCGTGAATGGGTTTGCTTGACTTTAGGGCCTGAATCCAACAGGAACCAAACAGATGCTGTGAGATATAAAGTATATAGCTGTTTTCACACAAAGCCCCCTTCTTTTTCTCTTTTTTCCCTCTACTAGAAATTATTTATGTAAAAACAACATTTAAACGAACCAGAAATGATATGTCACTACTGAGATTTCTATTTTTTTAATTACTGAATTTTTAAAATGAGAAATAATAAACCATGAGGGAATAAAAGACTGAGAGACTGAAACTTCAGAAATCATTTTTCGAGAATTTGATATGAAAATAGATCTGCAACATCACTCATTAAAAGAAAAATACTGAATTACCCCTTCCTTTGAAAACTTTTCCCCAAATGCCACACAAAATCATTACTTACAGTTCAGACAAGTCAAGGTGACGGAAATGTTTCCTAGACAAACTCGTCAACTTGTTTCGGGTAAAATTGCTGAAAGGAATCAAAAACATTAAACATGAATTTAAAATGTTACATTTTAGGAACACAGTATTCAGAGATTTTGTTTACAAAATACAATTTTATTTGATCATTATGCATGCTTTACTTACATCCAAATCTCTCTCTCTTTCACTTAGAGTGATAGCTGAGTTTTTCTTCTAACCTTGTCTATATTTTTTTCTTTGCAGGGAGGGGTAGCATAAATATATTGTGTATTTTTAACGTTTTTTTCGCCCAAAAGCTTATTTTTCATATGTTGATTTGGAGCCAAGTTATATATCTCATAGAAATCCTGATCTTTTGAATAACTAATAGGAAGATATGTAACATTAAATAAAATTTAAAACTATAAACCCAGTAGGGAAAAAAGATGCCTTAAAACTAAAGAGCATCATGGATATTTTGAAATTATGTGGCATACAAAACTCTGAATATTAACTGAATTCAATATGTCTTTATATGAAAGACATTTTATTGATGAAAAAACACTACTGAGATTGTTTACTTATGAGCTAGATAACCGAATACCTCCACGATGGGAACAAAAAAAAATTAGATAACAAGGAATACATCAGATTTCATCTGAAGACGGTATGTCTTCAGATTTGGACCAACCAGACAATAAAAAGATACATTTGTGATTTAAAAAATAATAATTTACTGACATGTTCCAAACATGTAATCTGATTCGATAAAAGAGTTTCCAATGATCAGTGCCATGAGATTTTGGGGTAGGAAATTCAGAGCCATAACCCTGGCAGCTGACTCACTCTGCAAATTTGTTTACTGTTTAAATTTATTTAAAGAGTGTCCGATGCTTGGGCCTACAGATGTGTTTAATAAATAAAATGAATGTAAAACAAACATCAACTTTCACAGAAACAGCCAAGACCTCTACAAAACGGAGGAAGCCAATGAGTCTTTCAGCGTATGTTTCCTGCCCAGGAAGGCAAGTGTTGGGCTGAGAGTTGGATAAAACATGAGATCTGGCCGGGCGTGGTGGCTCATGCCTGTAATCCCAGCACTTTGGGAGGCCAAGGCGGGCAGATCACGAGGTCAGGAGATCCAGACCATCCTGGCTAACACGGTGAAACCCCGTCTCTACTAAAAAAATACAAAAAATTAGCCGGTCGTGGTGGCGGATGCTTGTATTCCCAGCTACTCAGGAGACTCAGGCAGGAGAATGGCGTGAACCCAGGAGGCAGAGCTTGCAGTGAGCCAAGATTGCGCCACTTCACTTCAGCCTGGGCAACAGAGTAAGACTCCGTCTCAAAAAAATAATAAAAAAATAAAAAATAAAAAATAAGTAAAAAACATGACATCTGAGGGTGACAGTGATCCTGGCCCCTTACCTGAGGCTACTCTTCACTGTCAGCCTAAGGAAGTATCCTGGTGTGTCTGATCAGTCACACAGTCCTGGGGTTACAACCAGGAGCCAAAGCATGAACTAAGGCTAGTCAGTTGATAAGAAGGAACCTACCACTCTGGTGTCTCACAAATCATGAATGTGTGTGTCCACTCCCAGTTTAATTCTATATTGAGATCTCCACTCCCTACCTACACAAGGGTACCCTCCTTCCTTCTAGGCGTGCATCTTCTCGCTTCACACTGAGTATAAAGTGCTCACCCACGTGAAAAAATAATCCACCAGGAAGTTGTAAAATGTGCCCACATAAGTCTCTTCTTTTGGAACGTGAATTAAGAATGGGTTTCGGTCGGGTGCAGTGGCTCACGCCTGTAAACCCAGCACTTTGGGAAGCTGAGGCTGGTGGATCACCTGAGGTTGGGAGTTTGAGACCAGCCTGGCCAACATGGCGAAACCCCGTCTCTCCTGAAAACACAAAAATTCGCCGGGTGTGGTGCCGGGCGCCTGTAATCTCAGCTACTTGGGAGGCTGAGGCAGGAGAACTGCTGGAACCCGGGAGGCAGAGATTGAGGTGAGCCAAGATGGCGCCATTGCACTCCAGCCCGGGCAACAACGGCAAGACTCCTTCTTAAAACTAAGCAAAAACAAACAAACAAACAAGAAAAGAGTGGGTTTCACTGGTCTACAATGCATTGAAAAGTCAGTCTGCCTATCTTTTCCACAGTTTCTAAGGCACAAATGCTTTCATCGGAAGTCCCAATCTTTCTAAAACAAACCAAAAACCAAAAACCTGCTTTCCTCCTCAAGAAAAAGGCGGAGAAAGGCAGCGAAGAAAGCAGTTTAGGGTGAAGGGTCTCCCTGTCTGCTGGTAAAACCGCCGCCCCGCGGAGCCTCTGTGGGGCCGCCAGCAGCACCGCAAAGAGCGGGGTTATGGGCCAAAGAACAAGATGAGTCTTATGAACCATACTTATTATTGGGGCCAAAAGCCAAAAAGGAGGAAGAGGGGAGGGAAAAAAATCAACAATCCTCTTACTGTTTGATTATAGAGCTTTGCAAGGGAGCTAATTAGCACCTCTGCAAAGTCCCTGGAAAACACAAATACCAGCTTTTCTCACAGTCCCTGGGCTCTTAGGGGCTGGGCAGGAATTAAAGGCATCAAGAAATAACGCAGTGACCACTCTCTGGGGCTCTGGGCAGTCCCCATGTGATGCTAATACGGACAGGGTAGGGGGAGAAGTGGAGAAAGTGAGAGAGAGGATCCCGTTTAAATTTCCCTAAAACCCGAAGTGAAATAGACTGATCTTGTATGCGTTTTTATATTGCTGGGGAAACTCAGAGAGATCATCAGTATATCCCAGGGGTACAGAGAAACAGCTTTTAATACATATTTTGTTATCAGCTCCCTTGCACCCCACTGCCTTGATATTTGAGGTAAGAGTGCAGTTTGCATGTGGAAAATCAGGGGACCACTAATCAAGCTGGTCCCCAGAGTCCTCCATCATAAGCAGAGGTTAGGTCTAAGATCCGGATAGGCAGACACCTGACTTAATTCCTTCCTTCCTCCCTACTGTTCTGGAAAGCAAACTACTTAATTTAATTTCAGATTTTGGTGATTAAGAGCCTCTTTTGTCCTGTGAATATATGAAGCTTACTGCCATCTGATGACCTCTTCATAACTGCCGGATACTTGCCTATTTCTCTCTGTCTTACTATTCAATAATGGCTACAAATATTAGTAGTGTTTTTGCAATTTGATCAATGATTGACATCCCAGCTATTGCTTCTTAAGAAAACTGTGTAAGATATGTATGTCCCTTTAGCTTCCCATTTTAAAATAATTCTTCTCTGAAAACGAGGGACAGATATTTGACTTTGTATAAGCTGTGGACTGCACAAAGAATACCACCAAAATCATTCTATCATATATCAACATGAAAAAATATACAAGGTGGCTTTCATATTCATAGAAATGGCATGCAACAAGGAAAATATACAAAGTACAAAGTAAAGTGAAGTAATAAGTAAGTCTATTAATAAAACTGTAATTAGCCAGAGCCCACTGTCCAAATCACAACATTAGGAGAAGTGATGTGATAAAACAGCCAGTAAAATGCAGTTGTTGAGTAATTCGGGTCTAAGGTCAACTGTAATGAAAATACCAGAACTTAACCACTGAGGTCATTAATTACATCTAAGTGACTGCATTAGAGCATTTTGCCTTTTTCTTCTTTCCAATTTCTCTCTTGTTTATGCTATCAAGGCCTACGCAGCCATCAGATTTGTGCAGGCAAAGATTTGTGCAGACTGCAGAGATGATTCCAAAACGCATTTAATTGAAATGTGTTAATAAAGTTCCCTGGAGTTTTATCACATTTTTGCAGAATGTTTTATGTCTTAATTTACAGACTGTATTTTTAAAGTGACTTCCTCATTAATGCCACCTATAAAATATGAAGTTGTGATATTGGCTTTATGAAATTAATATTTTCCATAATATCAACAAATTTCAATAGAGTGTCCAGGCAATCTGCTTCTAAGAGAATGGTTTCTTTTAAAACTGGCATGGAAATCAGTTGGGGAACTGTTCTGAAAAAAAGAAAGAGGACAAACCTTCTAAGAAAGTCTGATTCTCTAATTATATGGATGATACAGATTTTATTTCCTGTACTCTTAATGTAAGAACATGGAGAGGGGTTGGCCCTGGAGTAATAACTCTGACACTTATGATCTGTAAATCTGAGCAAGTCCTAGAACTCCCTCACTCTTTTTTTCTTTAATACTTTAAGTTCTAGAGTACATATGCACAACGTGCAGGTTAGTTACATATGTATACATGTGCCATGTTGGTGTGCTGCACCCATTAACCCATCATTTACATTAGGTATATCTCCTAATGCCATCCCTCTCCCCTCCCCGCACCCTGTGACAGGCCCTGGTGTGTGATGTTCCCTACCCTGTGTCCAAGTGTTCTCATTGTTCAATTCCCGCCTGTGAGTGACAACATGCAGTGTTTGGTTTTCTGTCCTTGCAATAGTTTGCTCAGAATGATGGTTTCCACTGTTCACAATAGCAAAGACTTGGAACCAATCCAAATGTCCATCAATGATAGAATGGATTAAGAAAATGTGGCACATATACACCATGGAATACTATGCAGCCATAAAAACGGATGAGTTTATATCCTTTGTAGGGACATGGATGAAGCTGGAAACTCTCACTCTTATTTTATCTATGAAATGTGAATAAAAGCCCTACCAATTATCAGAAAAAAATCATGTGAAATATTCCAGGTGAGGGTCCCATAGATAGACTATGATATGTAAGGTATCATTGCAAAGAGAATTTGGTACAGCAAAACAGAATCAATGAATGCAGGCAACAACCTTCTGGCAGAAGCTCCACTAAAAACTCAGGGAATGGGAGTTCTGAGTCTGTGCTTAGAGATGCATAAATATTCTGCACTTTAGTGATCTTTAGTTTAACGAAGACATCTCTCAGGAAAGCCATGCCTTATGGACTTAAATGCCATCATCTAGAGGATTTAGCAACAAACAAGCTAACAGTTCCCATTGTCCATATTTCCATTTGACTTCAGTGGACAAAGCATCAACAAGACTTTGGGGAAATAGTTCCCATTATTAATGATTTTCTGTACCTTTGGCATGTCCCATGATTGATTTTTCTCTACCTTTATCAATTCATGACAGACGACTTTGGGAAAATGAAGGTTCAAAAGAGAATCCTATTGTGGGGGGAAAACACCAGTAATTTTTATTTCCCTATAAAGGCCAAGGCCAAGTCAGCTTCTTTCAGTTCCACTGGTTTGATGTCTTCCAGGGAGCATGTCATGATTCCAAGGAGGAAAATCAAGAACTCTGTGCAAGGACACAGTTTTCACATCAGACTCCTTGCTGCTAGCCTATTGCTCTGTCCAAGATGGAACTGGCCCAGAAATTCATGAAAGGGAATAAACAGCCTGTTCTAAGTACCCCTCTGAAGCTATTCAAACAATCAAACAAAATCAGAGCTAATGTTTCTAAGCTATTATCACAGCTATACTAACTTTAAAAAGGGAGGTTTCGAGTTGGAAAAGAAGGAAAATAAACAGAGGGGGGAAATACTGAATAAAATAGGTCCTGGGAAGCAAAAGAATCAATCTCTACTTACATGTGCTGCAGGTTGCTGTTTTTCAGAAATGCTTTATGAGCCACAAATTTTAATCCAGAATCCACAATTGTCCTGTGAAGACGCATAATTTCACGCATATTAGAACGAACCAGTGAATGCCTGCCTGACCAGAGTAGACAACAGGAAAAATCTCTGAGATAATGTGTGCTGGTCCTGAGTACTCACAGATTTCTCAGTCCCACGTAAGCTTCAACATCATCTTCGTTGATGATTTCTAACCTTTTCTGATTTGCGATGAAACTGTAACAAAGCAGAGAGTGAATCGCAGTGACTCAGAATGTAGGCAGCAGCACCATGAAGAACTCCCATCCACCTCACCCAGGTGTCCAAGGCGCTCCCTCCACACCCATCCGAGCCTCGCCATTTTTTAAAATATGGCAGGAGAGCAAAACTGAGCATGACTGAGCAGAAACCATGACTGACAGGTTTCATGGTCAATAACCAGTTCACTGGGTTTCATTTCTCCTGTTTTATCAGTCTTTCACCCAACAATTTCACTTTTCTTTCCCTTTCAGAGTATCACCAGTGTACATAGGTGAAAATACCATGGAATTGCATCCACTCCTCTCAAAGGTGTTTCTACTCTTATGGTGAGAGCCACAGAGATGCTACTGTCATCACTGCACAAGAAAAGTCACATATTCCCTCACATTTCAAGAGAAACAGCCACTCCCTCCTTTACCTCCTAAAATACTAAAGTGCATTTCCCCTACCCTGTCCTCTTTTCTCTATTTTCCTGGCCCAGCATCTCCTCCTTCTGCCTTTGTCAGTGACAATATCAATCTTTCCTTCGATAAACCACATTTCACAAACCCCAACGTGGCCTTAGCGCGTTCTCCGTGGGAATGCTCCTCCCTCCCCCACCCCCTAAGCCCTCCAATATAAGGGTGGATGGAGAAAACTCCATCCCTTTGGCCACGCTGGTATCTTAGAGATGTGCACATGACCTCGATTACACCAAGAGGAGTCTTCCCTGAGATTAAATAAATGAATGCTGGGAAAGAGAGGGTCTCTGTCTTTCTCTGGGATCATAGCTGAAGGATCGCACAGGCCTGCAACTTCCATGGGGAAATTTTCTGCTACAAGGAAATAGACCATCCAAAAATGAAGTCAGTCCACAAAAGAAGCAGAGCTAAAGAGACAGAACTCTAAAAACACCACTTGAGCCATTAGATACAACTGTCTCTGAGGCTAGATGTCACGAACCTGAATTGATCTTAATTTCTATCATTTGCAATCAGTAAAGTCCCTAGTGATATGAACAAATAGCTATTAAAACCATCATTATGGAATTTCCTATACTACAGTTATTTAAATACCTGTCTATTCAGTTTTCTTAGATCACAATGTCTTTAAGACAGTTAGATCTGTTTTATAACTCACCTAGCTCAGTACCCAGTACAAGGTAGGTACTCAAAGGATGGATGGATGGATGGATGGATGGATGGATGGATGGATGGATGGACAGATGGAGAAACAGATGAACTGTACTTGGAGTTACAAAGGCACTACAAGAAACTATGCAGGATGAATTCTCCCCTTTCTTCCTGAAAAAATTTAAGATATATAACATATTCCAATTAAGACACTGAAAACAAATATGTAGCCCTGCTGTTAACAATGTGAGTTAAAATGAAAAAAATATTAAACGATGGGGAGGAACATATAGCATCTATAGGTCAGCCACTGTGTGGAGGAAAATGATAACAAGCTGTATGGTAAGGGTTTGGGCACCTCTTTTTAGAAAATAAATTTTAAAAATAAAAATAAGTAGATTCTCTGAGAAGACAAAATTACACCAAAGATAAATATTTTTAAAAGCATCCCCACAAATATTGTCCCCTGTTACATAAAAAAACTAGCCTCCAAGATAGAATGGTGACTTTTTCTGAAAAAATTATTTGTTGTCCCTTATACCCAGGGCCTGGCACACTTAATAAATGTGCAGGAAGCTTTCGTTCCCTTCCCTCCTCCCACCACACATAGAAGAAGGAAACATTTTAAGACTTGAAAGGAATGCTCAATTTTTAATATCAAGTGTTTCAGAGTTATCATACTTTAGATACATTTTTGCAAGATTTTTCACCAACATTTTCAATAGAGATCACAGTGACCTCACTCTTCTAAATGATCTCACAATAAGAACTGCATTCCAAAGAGCCCTGAATGTTAATACTTTTTCTCATGCAACTGACAGCAAAAAGGATAGATAACGTGGGCGCGTTTTCCTCTGGAGTCACAATCTAGGCTTCCAGGCAAGCCTGTGCACTCCCTCCAGCTGCGTAAGCATGGGTCCTGTCACTGTCCTGAAGTCACTGAGAGTTCTTCCTCACTCTTTTCCTGGATTATCCTTGCATCTTCCATGCTCACAACAAGGGCCTGGAACTCAATGAGGACTTTATCATGATCTGCACAAGGCACTCATCTTTAACTCTTTGTTACTTATGCCCTTTCTTTTCATTTTTCATCAGACATTTAATTTATCAACTCCCCGATCTTATTCAATAGAATACAATGAACCAGCAAATAAAAATGGAAGGCATAGAGGAGGAAAGACAGGGGTAGAGATGTCCATGGATTGTACAAAAATATGTGGGCTTAAAAAAAGAAAAGAAAAAGATAATTTAATTTAAAAATAAAAATAAATAAAAAATAAAGAGATATCAATGGAGCCAGGAATTCAGTTTAGAAATGCATACACTTGTTAGGAAGAAAAAAAACACACACAAGCTTAATTCTATGCTTTCTAGTCACCAGTGCCCAAGAAAGAAGGAGATGAGGATAAATTTGGTCAATGGTAAATTCACAGTATTCATGAGATGAAAATGAGCCAATTAAGCAAAGCACCACTATTCCGAAATCTAAGACCAGACAGGAAATTTTGCTGAAAACCATCAAAAGAAGTGATGAAAAATGGTCACTAGAGAATACTCCCTTACTGTGGGGGCAAGAATGCCCTGGATAAATAATAAATTTTTCTCCTTGCCAAGATGGAAAGGCCAACTGAAGAGCTGGATTAAAAGTTCAGCAAGGGCTCTTCTAGTAGTAGATCCCAAGAATTCCCCCTCATAAGCTACTATGTGTAGTCATGTCCACAATAGACGCTAGCTACAAGCTGCTCAAGAAATCTACCCCCTAAGAAACTCTCTTTAGCTACCACTAAGTGAAGAATCAAATCATAGGGTTAAAAAAGAAGCCAGTAAGGTGAATAACAGGTCATTCACAGAGGGGAAACTTCGGTGGCCAAGAAACATGAAAAGTTGTTCATCTCCTAAGAAATGTGAAATGCAAATTAAAATAACAGTGACATACTATTCCTCTCCCACTAGACTGACAAAGTGTTTAAAGTCTGACAATGTAAAACATTTCTACGGATGTGATGAAATTTCTCTGAAATTGTTGGAGGAAGTGTAAATTGTTATAACTACTTTGAAAAGCACTTGGCCTGTATCTTGGAAAATTATAAATCAGTACCCTTCATGACCCAGCCATTCCATTCCAGGTATTCACACAAGAGAAGTTCTCACATATGGACTCAAGAATAGTCATTGTAATATGATCAGTAGAATATTACATTTATTGTCATGGAGTCAAAAGCTGGAGCAACCCAAGTGTCCATCCACAAAGAAATAGAAATTGTTTAAAATAAGATGTGTTAAATATATATATAAGATTAAATCAGATCTACATATTTGAGCAGAAAGACACTGCCATGCTAAGTGAGAAAGAAGATAGGCAAAATTGTATACTGATATGTATGTGTAATATAAAACAATCTATGTGAACTTTTAAAAATATATAAAAAATAATACCACATAGTGTTCACAGTCAGGTAGATATGCAAAGTATAGAAAGATGATTCCAAGGAAGGTGGCCTTGGGAAAGGAGAATGGTCTGGGGTTTTACACACACACACACACACACACACACACCTACCTTAAACTCTTTATACCATTTATATTATTAAACTGCTAAACTATTTTATTAAAAGAGAAACAACTTGCATCAAAAAGATAAAAATGTTAAACTATCATTTTTGAAAGTAATTATATAAAGTTATTATGTCATCATACTTTTTTGAATTTTTAAAATTTATGAAGAAAAAAGAAAGACAAGAAAGAGAGAGAGAGAGCAAGAAAGGATGGGAGGGACAGAGGGAAAGAGAGAGAGACAGAGATTGCAACAATCATACAAAGGAAATAACAGCAGGAAAGTCAGACCCCAGGGCTTCTCAGTGACTCAGTGGGCAAACACACCTGAGCTCAAGTTCTTGCTTCCCTGGACCACCCAAATAGCAAACAGCTAACAGCCTTCTTTCCTGCCCCACAGCCTCCGGACAGAAATGGAAGACTAAGGTGCGTGTGCGCTGCCCCCTCCTGGTGACTTCCACCTGCCTCTGGGAGGATCTCCACAGCCCTGGCCTCTCCTGCTCTCTGCCTTAGGGCGACTGATCCCAAAGGCACAGGGTTAGGAAGGAGAGAGGAAGCGCCAGGTCAGGGCCACTGACAGGCAAGCAGCAGGCTCTTTCCCAGAAAATCGCTCCCCACTGCCCCTGTTAAAGTGCAGTGACACTGTGGGTTCTTCACCGAGTCAAGCTCTGCTTAATAAAACACGTCTCCAAAAAGGGTGCCATTCCCTCAAGGGAGCAGTGGGAAGGCTCACAATTGTGGCACACACCCAACCAGGAGTTTTCTCTCCATGACAACCTCAAACTCCTCTAACCTAGGCCCACTGCTCTAGAAAGCTTAGGCCCAGGGGCTTCCAGGCACAACCCCTCCGCCCCCACAGCCCATGTCCCCGCACTTGCCTCACAGGAATCTCACATGAGGTCCATGGAGCTTTGGTCTTCTCAGAAAACTGAGCTTCCCTCCACCCCCCAGCCTGCAAACAATGCTTGCATGCTCTGTTAGGCAAGTCAGCGGCCCTTAAATAATAACCAAGAGACATGGTGAATTCGGAATTTTTGTCTAACTTGGTGTACTCCTTGGGAATTTCTCTCACCTCCTCAGTCCCCCAGGGTCCCTGGCCCTCACCCTTTATTAATAATCTGCCAGGAATCATTGGTGGCCTTCAACCATCCTCTTCTGCTCAGAATGTGCCTTCCACCCTTACCAAGTCCATATATAGGACTCTTGCTAGGACCTCATATTATAAGGGCTGTTTTTGCTGTTGTTTTTTGCACATTTACAACATCCCAAGGCCCTTAACTACTGCCCTAAAGATTGGATCTTACATGCTAG